CCATTTTCTGCCTCACACATCCTATTTTTAGTCTCTGTGACCACTGGTGTTGCACAGGGACGCCAGAGCCGCGGTGTGGGGACGGGAGCAGCTGGAAGGGGTCACATGGGAGCAGAAGCAGCCTGCACAGCCAATGCACAGCTGCCCATCCCAACACCAACGTGCATGCTTTGAAAAAGAAGCCACCAAATCCCACTTGGCTTCCATGGGGCTGTGAAGGAGTCATGGCTTTATGGAGGAGCCAATGCTTTGGAGAACCAGGGCCACCTGAAGTCTGGAGCTGCTGCAGAGGAGACAGCAGAGACTGGAGCTGCTGGTGGGCTCTGCAGGTGCTCCTGCAACAAGTGTGAGGAGAGCAGCAGCTTTCTTCTCCAGCCACCACACCTGCAGGTGTTGGCACTGCCAAAACTGCACCAGATTCTGGCTGTGTGACAAAAGACCGCATGCTTCCAGGAGAGCTGCTCCCACACTGCTGCAGGCAGCGGCTTTGCCTCGACAGTCAGGAGAGCACAGGGTGGGAACAGGCAACGGGAGCTTCACCCGTGGGCATGATGGGACAGGGCAGAGGGTAAGGGGAGCCTGGGGCTGTGCAAACATGGGCTTGGGGGCTGACAGGCACCTGGGAACCAGCCCCAGGGGGAAGGGCAATACCGCTTGAAGACACAACATGAGGGAGAAACAGCATTTCTCTCAGCTACGGAGGAGAAAACAATCAGTTAAATATAGGCAGAGGATTTTCTCACAGATCAAACCATCACCTGACTTTATTCCAGCTGAGCACCGGAGGGATGAAGCATCCCCGACTGAGGGATGTGCAAAGAGCACCCCACGGTGGAGGGATGCTCAAGGAGCATCCCAGATGGAGAGATGCTCAAGGAACATGCAAGGAGGCCATGCACAAATGATCCAGGCTGGAAGGCCAAGCTGGCTGTGGGAGAGCACATTCCAGGCTGCCCTGGGAAGCTCTATGCCGAACCCCCGGATCTCTGGCTGCCTTCCGTCCCTCAGGGTGAAGGCGGGGCCGGGGCGCAGGGACGGCGGGAGCCGGGGAGCCCCGCTCCGGGCCGGGGCCGGGGCCGGGGGTGCCGGGGGCCGCGGGCGGGCTCTGCCGCCGCCCCTCACCCGTGTCCTGCTCGCCCAGGAACGCGTCCTCCTCCTTGCGGGCGCGGAGGCCGCTCTCGGCCGCGCCGCTCGGCTCCTCCTCGGGCAGCCGCGGGAAGCTGGTGATGCTCATGTAGTCCACGGGCGAGCCGGCGGCCAGGGCCCGCTGCCGGCCCGGCACCGCCTCCGGCACTGCCATCGCCGGGTCACCCCGAACCGGGTCACGCCGAGCCGGGACCCACAGCCGCCCGGGCCGGGCCGGGCCGGGCCCACCGCTCCCGGTCAAACGGAGCCGCCCAGCGCCGGCCGGGCGGAGCCGCCGGAAGGGGCCGGGCTCAGGGGCGGCTCCTCCCCGGTGCGGGGGGCGCTCCGGGCCGCTCCCCCAGGCGGGTTTGTCCGGGGTGCCGCCGCGGCAGCCAGCACCGGCCGGCGGGGTCGGGAGCGGCTCGGGGCGGAGGGCCCGGGCCCCGCTCCAGCCGGGGCTGCTCCATGGCCCGAGGTCCCCTTCGCCCCTGGCCCACACAGGGGGATCAGCCCCGGCCACACCGCAGCAGGCGGGTTCCGGGCCAAGCCTCCGGGGAGCTGGATCCGAGATTCCTCCGTCCGCCTCCAGAAGGCTGGAAGAGTTTTCCAGGGGATGTGCATGCACATTATGTCGCTGCCACAGCCAGCCCGTAGCAGGGGGCTCACATGTCACCCTTGTCACGGGGCAAGGGGCACCATCAGCAAGAGATGCCGTGACATTTCCCCAGAGCGGCCGGGTGTTTGCTCTCCTACAGCCTTCCTTCCATCGCTGGCTGCTCGTGCGTGTGGCCCTCTGGGATGAGAGCTGGACACCGAGGTTCCCTCCACAGCACAGGGGTTTGGGTTGCCGTTTGCAGGTGCACCTGGCCAGGCTGACCTGGCACTGGTGGCTCCCTGCTCCTGGCTCCAGCAGCACCGGCACAGGTGTCAGGAGGGGCTGAGGCTGCTGGGCAGCACAGGGAGCCAGCACAAACCGGGGGGAGCTCAAATGGGGGCACAGGACCAGCTGTGCCTGGGGCAGGCCTGACCTGTGGTTACCAACAGCACTCATTTGGCAAAGAGTTGTGGTGGACTTAAATGCGTTGAGGGGCCTGGTGCTTCTGAGATCAAATTGGCTGAAACATTTAAATTTTCCCCTACACTTCTTCCAGAGATAGACCTAAAAACCACCAGTAAAATAACTGTAAGATGGAAGATGTTGTTTCTCTCCATGGTCCAAGTTTGTGAAAATTCCTTATCCCTGCAACAACACTGGCCTCTCTGGACTTGGCACACAAACTTGTCTCTTTGGCTGCCAGATCTGAAAAATCCACCTACTGCCCCAATGTATCCTGGACATCTGTTGTTTTGGGAAGCAGAGCATGTGGAGTGCTGTTTGGATCTGGGGAGGTCACCTGACAGGTACGTGTCCTACTTTCTCATCCTCCAATGAGCCAGCTAATCCCCTGCATGAGCAGCTCCACTGGCTCAGTGCTCCTCAACACAGGAACTTGTAAATCTTCCTTTGCTGAGGCACTGGCAAGGTTTTGGTCGTGCCTCCAGCAGCCTGAGGGCATCATGACCAATGCCAGCTATAGTAAATAAATAAATAGGAATAGGGACAGGAGTAGGATAGTTTGGCTTTTGCAAACCAAAGTCTCAGACTGCTCCACTTTCAGGCATCTGTCCAGTCTCCCCATCCCCAGCAGATGGAGGGGTTTCTTCCCCAGCACTGCCTTTTCAACGAGGCCAGGAGCTATGTCCATACTGCATCCTCTTCCACCCACTGCCTGGCAGAGGATCAACCCACCGACCCTGCCTCTGCCTCTCTGGTGTTTAAGACAAACCCAAACCAGCTGGCTGCGGCAGGAGCAGCCACCTCAGCCCCTCTGGCCAGTGACGTGCCACCACCCTCGGTCATGTCACGGCTGGCTCCAGCCCGACCGGCCCCTGGGGATGTGGTGGGGCAGGTCAGAGCTGCGGTAAGGGAAGGTTCATGTGGCTCTGTCCTGCCGCAGATCACATCCCACAGGCTCTGGAAGGAGCCACGCTGGGGGGCAGTGGAGTCGCTCCTCAGAGGTGCAGGCCAGCAGTCAGGGACTCTCCCCGAGGGTCAGCACGAAGCTCCTCGAGGCCGAGAGCCCTCAGCTCCTTGCATTGGGATTGTGCATTCCAGGGGACCCTTCTGAAATCTTGAGAATTCGTACAGTCAGGCTGCTCCAATTCTGCTTCACAGCACAAATCTGTTTTCATATGTTGGCTGAGGTTTAATTGGTTTATCTAGTTTAATTGATTTATAAAAGAAGTTTATTTTAATATATTGTGTCAATGTTACAAGCTTCATGATACCTGTGGGCAGCTGAAAGCCAACAGCTGTGAGCACAGTCTTTGCAAGCTTGGAAATCGACCTGGGGAACTGCAGAGATGGTGACACCCCATGAAGAAGACAGAGGCTCCTTGCAGGGTGCTGCCACCCCAACAGGCACTGCTCGGTGCCAGGTCTAGCTGGGCCCTGACAGCTGGGATTAGCAAGACTTCAGATGCCTGGGTGCACAGCCACCCTCCAACACCCCTTGGCACCCACCCCAGTCTTCTCCCTTTAACACCCACAGTAACTTGCATTAATTTCAGCACACTATGTGCCTGGAGGCCAAGGACACCAGAAACTCCTTTACCAGTTCCACCACACAAAACACTTGCTGCTCACCTCTCAGCAAGGTTAGGCCAGGGGACCTCTCTCCCTCCTGCCAGGGACTGGCTACTCTTTGCTGAAAGCCAAGGTGATGTTCTGCAGGTCTGCAGCTTAGCAGGGAGCTGCACTGTGGGCAGTGCAGCCTCCATGTCAGCTCCATGAGGATACAGCTGCTGCTGGAACTGTACCCCAGCAGCTGGGGCTCCCACAGCCCAGCTCTCCAGTGCAGGAAGGACATTCTTCTCCCCGAGCTGAGGTGCTACTGACCCCCACCAGCCACTGGCTCTTTCCCACCAAGGAGTGCAGAGTAAGCTTGTTGTGCCAGTGCAGAACTGTGAGGGCAGGGGTGCTGCCCAAGCCCTGCTCTCCCACAGCATTCCCTGCTCCTGTCAGCCACTGCTCTCCTGTCCTCCCAGCACCAAACCATGCTCTCTGCTAGACCATTCCTGTGTCAACCTCTCAAATCTCTGCAAGTGCTCCCTGTATTTACAGTTCTCATTGTTTGCAAGAAGCTCAGCTCCATTCTGCTGGCTGCCACATTGCCTTGAGCTTAAAATTAACTCCCTCCTTCATGAGCAGGCACCAAAGATTTAGTTCTCCTGCTGACCAGCACAGGGGATACCAGCTTCTAGACCCTGAGGTACCCCTTAAAACAGGAACCTGAAGAGCAAAAAACCTGCAGCTGGGCAACAGGTGCAGGCTCTTTAACCTGAGCCTTAAAGATATCAGAGGCCAATGTCTGTTCATGGCCATGATCCTCCTCAGCTCAGGTTCAGCTTCCAGCCACTGGAACTGCACGGAACCGTCCAAGGAGCTGAGCTTGTGGGAGAACAGGCAAGCAAGGAATAGAGCAAAGGGTCAGGGAAGCAGCTGTGCACTCTCTCTGCACATGGTGCAGCACTGCTCCAGGTCCTGCTGCAGACCACAACTAAGCACTCTGGAGAAGCACTGGCTCAGTGTGTCACAGGGCAGGGACAGTCACTAAAGGAGCAGAACAGCTTGAACAGGCAACACAGCTCAGCCTGCTTAGCTGAAGCATGAATCTAAGCATTAGCTACCACTGCAAATGCTTCTCAAAGTGCAGCACATGAGACCCAAGAATCTCAAAAACTTAACCAAAAAATCCAACACTGAAAGGAATCCCACACTCCCACCATTTTACAAAACATCAAAGACCAGAGGACGCAGAAGCTGCACAGTGGATTATTCAGGCAACATTTATTGGAGCATTTCAAGTATACAATGGTTTTACTAATGGCTGTAAGCAGCTAAGATGCAGACAGATGCCAGCAGGAAAGGGTGACCTAGAACTAGCAGGCTATGCAATTCTCATGGGAAGTTAATGATTTCAGCTGATAGGAAAGGAAGATAAAGTAGCAGACTAAAAGTTCGGGGATGGGGAGGAGAAAATAAAGAAGTTTTTTTTTGAGATAATTTACTTAAATTGGCCACTCACAAGTAGCAGAAGCTGTCTGCTATTGCACTCTTCCCTTGGCATCCCAAGGACCTAAACTAACCAGGGCTGTTTCTTCGCCAAGAACTGACAGATTTTCCCTGGTAAGAATGGAGGCTCGCCCTGGCTCCGCACTCGGAGATTGAGATCCCTGGCTTTGCACTCCCAGTGAGAGCCAGGCTGTGGCACTTCCACCAGAGAGGAGGCAATGCAGGCTTGCAGCAAGAGCACACTAAACTACCAACCCCTCACTATAAGGCAGCATTAGGTCAGGACTCTTTTTGGGTGCCTGAGCTGTTTAGAGAAGCAAGGACCACATGGCAACAAGACTACAAGGTCCTGTGACAATAACGAGGACTGTGCGTGTTTCCCAAGAACTATTTCTGAAAGACACGTTCTTAAAAAATACCTTAAAGCAGAGACTCCCCATTGATGCACAAAAAGGGCATGACTAGGGAGGGACTGAGCTATGAAGTGATCAAGTACCTCCCAAACCACAGGTTGTGTACTCTGCCCAGTTTGCAAGTTGGTACTTTTGCATTTAAGATAATAGCTGCCTCAATTGTGTTTTAGTGTCCTGCATTTATGAACAAAGACCAGTTGAATTCAAGAGCTTAAAACCAATTCGAAACACTAACATTTAACAGGGTATCTCCAGAATGACTCCTTCGAGAATACGAAGCTCTGAGGTATGTGATGGCAACTTGGTAGTCAGGCTGGCAGAGTGCAGTGGAGCTTCTAAGCCTCCTGAATACATCTTGGTTTACCAAATGAATCAGTTCTTACTGCCAAAATCACTTAAAAATTTGTCTTCAGCAAAAAGCATTTAAAAAATCTGATCAACAACTGATTTGCAAGTAAAACAAAAAAAAAAAAATATTAGAAATGGTAACAACACAGTCTGTTTAATCAAATCAGATCTGGTTACTACAAAAACATGCTAAGGACAGTCACCAGCTTGTGTCCTGGGTGCTGCTGTGCCTTCTGCCCACATACCTACAGCTGCTTTTGAAACACTGTTTGTCTAAAGGACAACCATGGAAGACAAGTCAGGGTTTAATGACAGATTTCAAACAGAAGGGCATACACACATTAAATTAACAGATTCAACCTTCGGCACACAGGAGTTTGGTAAGAGTTACTGGCTAGAGTCACAGAAAGTTCCAAATTTGAACAGTCTTGAACCGCTTCCAAAAATTCCAATGGCTTTTTAATAGTTCCAATAATTCACGGGTATATAAAACTGAGACAGGCTTCTCCAGCAGAAGAGTTGGGGTTCCTCCAGGCTACCCAGACCACTGGTACAGGGGAGAGCTGGTTTGACTTCCCCACTTTGCCACTAGTCCACTAAAGACTAGGATTTATTAAAACCTTCTCTATTTATTGACGACTGATTTAACTGCAGAGTGTGTCAATCATAGTGGATGGCAGTATAGAAGATAATCCAAACCACCTGCGGGGAGGAAAGGAGGGGAAGATTATTTGGGGATGCCTCTGGAGAGGTGTCAGACACAGCAAACGAGCCCCAGGCCTTGCTCTCAACAGGGGACTGAGTTCCAGCTTTGAGGTGATCTTGGAGAGATTTTAGGGTCACCACTTGCCCCAAATGGTGGCATTCAACTTGCCTCTCCACATTAAAATCCCACCACAGCCCCTCCAGGGATTTAGAGGCACCAACTAATCAAGTGCTGTGATCAGATACTTGGGGGAGGGGAGTAAGGAAAAAAAGACACCCAAAACACCAGTCCAGGTGTAATTAGTTCGGGATGGAATGGAACTCCACCAGGACATCTGGGACACAGGATGGGAGTGGTTGATGCATCCTTTACTACAGAGAAACCCCAGGTGTCAGCACTGTGTTTCACAGGCAGCAATCCCAATCACTGCCACTTGGAGCTAACACAACTGCCTTCTCTCACCACTTCCCCTGCTCTCTTCCCAGGTCTCCAGAAAGTGCACCAACACAACTCACAAATCATCTTAAAGACAGCAAGATGCATTACCAGGAACAGTGCAAAAGATGTCATGAATCCCTCCTTCGTTAGCTCCCACGTCCCACCATATTCCTCCTCATCTATCTGCTGGAAGCTGCTGAAGTAGAGGTACAGAACACCAGCATTGATCAGGCAGAATCTGCAGGGAGAGGTGAGGAACCATCATTGCAGTGGTACAGGCTGTAGGTATCCCACATGCCATGCAGTGAAATATCTTCCATACACAGCACAGAGGAAGCAAAGAGGAATTCAGAGGAAGCAAAGAGGAATTCATTTCCTGCAATGCTTCTCAGGCAGCTCAGTCACTCCCTTGAAAGAGCCCCTCCCAGTGAGCTTGCCAGGTTGGGATGAAGTTCACCTGACAAGGCACAACCTACTCCTAGTAGGGCTCAAGAGGCAGAAGTCAAAAGCTGGAAGTATCCTCAGATCTGCAAACCTGCAGGTTCTCCTGCAGACTGACAGCAGTTCTGCCTCCACAGAGAACCTGTGTGTGCTTCTTGATTCTCAGGCAGCTGAGAGGGAAAACTGTCACCTCCATCTCAGGGTTACATCTCTGTGAGCACCCCAGGACCAAACAGGGAAGAGATAAGAGCCACAGAGACTCAATACTGCCCTGGAGCCCCAGCACTAGGGTCCAGCCCGAGACACCTCAGTGCTCTCCAGGCTGTGCTGCAGCAGAGAGAACAAACATGACCTTCTGTTTGTCCTAAGACAGGTTTGGCTTTACACCAGCCCAGCTTGGGGCTGGGACAGGTCTGTGTCCTGTAAGGAAGGCTGTGTGGGAAGGGTGGGATGACAACACACACACAAAGCAGGTGACCAGCAGCAGCTGGAGCGGCTGTGTCACTGCACAGTACAGAGAACACACACACACTTCCAGAAACTTCTGGTTTTCCACTGTACACCAAATCCTTCCTGTTTACATTTAGCACAGGAATTGGCTTAGGTGCCTGAAGGTGCCTTGTCAATTAATGGTGACTAAGTAAGAACAATGAACTGTTCCTGGGGACACTTCAGATTGAACTGTTTGCTGTAGCTAACCTGGTTCCTGCTGGAGCATCACTCCTCCCCTTTCTTGCCAAAACCAGAACACTCGGGATGAGGGACAATATGACAACTGAATTTTACCTAAGAAAAGCTGTGAGACTGGAGCTTGATTATTGAGAGCTTGGCTAGGCAGAGACATTTGCAAACTGATACTCCTCAGAGCAGATGTGCAGAGAGCAGGACTGTGTCCCCACCTCTGCTGGCCCTGAACACTTCCAGGCACATGTCAGGCCCAAACAAAGATTTTTTCTTTATAAGTCACTGTAGCCTTCAGACACCTCTGGGGAGCTGACCTGGCTCCCAGGAATTCAATGCACACACCCCATGGCTGAAAGGGCCACGTCAGGAAGCCAGGAGTGCTGCTGAGCTCTGCTGGTGCCACTGTGCCAGTGCCACTGTGCCTGCTTGGGACCTGCAGCCTCTCATGTTCTGAGCAAACCTTTTCTTCTTCTCAGAGCAGCTGCCCCTGTCTGCTGACAGAGCCTCCTGTCTGAGCAGGGCTCAAAGACCAGGACATGCACACCTTCCCCCATGGACACTCCTTCCTGGTGATCACAGCAGGCACCACACTCCCAGCCTCTTCCACACGTGCAGGACACACACCAAGTCAACTGAAATGCTAGCTCCCTTCTTCTGCCATTGCCCCCTTCAATAACAAAATAAATAATAATGTCTAGAAGTATTAATCAGGCTCAGGAGAAAGAGAATGATGGACATGTTATGATTTAGATGAATTTCATGGCAACCAGCAATGGAATGAAAGGCTGGCTGTGAGACACAGAGCAGAGGCTGCCTTCAGCCAGCCCTGTTCACAGCACAGCCTCAAACAGGCTCCCAGGCCAGCCCAAATGTGGGAACGTACACGAGACACAAAAGGAAATAAACCTTACACTGCTATTCCCACGAATCCCTTCAGTGGAACTACTCCCCAGATGATTCCCAAAATAACTGCAATGATCTGCCGGAACCAGTAGATCACATCTAAAAACTCGTCCTGAGGAGACAAAGCACAAGAAAAATGTTGGCATTTATTACGTTTCTTTTTTTCAAAGCACCACACAATTAACAGGTGAAAATTCAGCATACTGAATAATTAGTTCCCCACTCAGAGTATAAAATATTGCACTCAGAACAGATACAGCAGCCTGGGACATTGTGCACCCTGTACTCCTCAGCTTCCACATTAAACACACAGCTTGTCCTCTGATGGGCCAACAAGTCTCTAGTCCCCTTATTTACTAAAGGTGCAACAGTAATCCCCTGGAATAAAAGTTTAAAGAACTGTTTATGCTTTGAGACTATTCTACCCACACTGGCCCAGGCCCTCCTACACCCAAGAGCTTTCAGGGCTCAGGGCAGCTCCAAAGCACAGCTTTACCTCACTCGTGCCACGAGAACTCCAGTGCTTCCTGAGCAGCAGGGCTGTGCTTATTCCTCTGTCCAAGGGCCACACTCCTGCAGCTACTGCAGCCTAGCAGTGCTGGCTCACACTTTAACACGATTCACTTCAGCTCATATCTCTTTTCCCCAGCCTCCCCAGGACCGGGATTGTCCCAGCATCCTCTCAAACTCCAAAGCCTTTGTGATCCCCCAAAGCCTGTGGGATGTGCCAGCTGTTCAGCTCCACGTGGAAGCCGTGAATCCGTGTCAGAAACAGACATTTCTTCTGGTCACTGCACTTGTCAGGCAGCTCAGCATTCAATTCACCTCCTACTGTATCAAAACATTGGCACAGCTGTCCCCGCTCCCCTGCTGACTCTGAAATTCCAGCTCCGTCTGCCAGAGGAGGGGGCAGGGACACACGAGCCCCACCAGTTCGGTGAGCCACAGGTAAGGAAAAAGCACCACAGATTGCTGTCTGTCCCCCACCGAAAGAGTGCGTGCTCCTTCCCCACGCCTTCCCTTCTCCGCAGGGAGCAGAGAGCCCGGGACAGACGCCGTGTGCCCGGGCATGGCAGCGCTCCAGCGGCAGCTCCGGGCTGTGCTGCTGGGAGGCAGCGCAGGAGGCACCGGCAGGAGCCCTGCAGCACAGGGCAGACAGGCACAGGAAACTTCGGAAAGCTCTTTCTGCTGCTCCTTGAACCATACAAGGGAAGTTTTTATTTCATCCGCGAAGAGCGTTAACCACAAACCAAAAGTAACGGAGGTGTCTCAACACCGCGTTTCGCTTGGCTCCGCGCCCAAAGAGCAAAGAGCCGGGCCCTGCGGGGCACGGCCGGGCCATGTGCCGGCGGATGGGGGAACACGGCTCCGCTCGGCGCTGCGGCGGCCGCGCTCAGCACGACATTCGCCCCACAGACAGCCCCGCCGCTCCCGGGGCTGCGGGCACGGGGCGCTGCCGAGCCCCGGCACGGCGCCCGCCGCTCATCCCGCTCCGCCGGGACCCGCCGCGATCCTGCGCCGGGATCCGCCCGCCCGGCCCGGAACCGGCCCGGCCCGCGAGCACGGCCAATCGCCGCGCGGCCCCGCGGCACGTGACACGGGCGGGGCCGCGCCCTACGGCGGCCGAGAGGGGGAGGGGAGGGGAGGGGAAGGGAAGGGAAGGGAAGGGAAGGGAGGCGAAGCGTCGGAAAGCTCTTTCTGCTGCTCCTTGAACCATACAAGGGAAGTTTTTATTTCATCCGCGAAGAGCGTTAACCACAAACCAAAAGTAACGGAGGTGTCTCAACACCGCGTTTCGCTTGGCTCCGCGCCCAAAGAGCAAAGAGCCGGGCCCTGCGGGGCACGGCCGGGCCATGTGCCGGCGGATGGGGGAACACGGCTCCGCTCGGCGCTGCGGCGGCCGCGCTCAGCACGACATTCACCCCACAGACAGCCCCGCCGCTCCCGGGGCTGCGGGCACGGGGCGCTGCCGAGCCCCGGCACGGCCTCCGCCCGGCGGTCCCCGCAGGGGCTCCAACCGCGCTCAGGGACGGCGGCTGCTCCGGCGCTCCCGCGGGACGGAGCCCACGCGCCGGGCGGGTCCCGGCCCCCCGCTCAGGGACCTTTCCGGTCCCGCCGCCCCGGTCCCACCTTATCGTGCCAGGCGGAGTCGCTGCGCAGCGCTTTGCCCCACACGGAGCCGCGCCCGGCCGCGCCGCCGTTGGCCACCGCGTGGTGCTGCGGGTGCGGCGGCTCGTCCCGGCGCCGCCCGCCGAGGGAAGGGAAGGGGTCGGGTCAAGTCTCGGCCTGGCAGGGCCATTCCCCAGCGAAAGGGCCAGACAGCAGTGCCGGTGTTGGTGGCTGGGAGGGGGCACGGCCCTGCAGGGTCTGCCCCAGGGGAGCCCGGTGCTCAGGCAGGCTGTGGAGGCTCCACACAGCCGGGGGTTTGGGAATCCATAGGATACACACGGTCCTGACGTGGGCACACATTTAACACTCCAGATACCCACACAACTGAATCCCTGCTCTCCCCATGAGCCACACAGCAGCAGAAAGCCATTCATGCAGCACCAAGCAATGGACACCAGCTTAGGCAAGAGCATTCATCAGCTTTTATGAAGTTTTTTCAACATGACATGACCTACCTTGCCCTCTCTTAAATGAAGGATTACAGACAATCCACTCAAGGTCCTGCATTTCTTGTTGTCTCACAGGCCTGCAAACACGATGTGCTGAGCATCTCCAGAGCCTGGCTGCAGCTCCAAATGCTCCAGCAGCAGCTGCTTTGCTGCCAGCAGGACCTGGAGCCCGTGGGTGCAGGCTGACACTGCGTGGGCTGTGTGGGGTCAGCATAGAGGGAACACAGAGAGGAGTCCCTGTCCCAGAGCTCTGATCACTTCCAGCCAGGGAGTGAAATTTAAATACAGATTATGCAAGGTACTGGTGGACTTATGGAGAAGTGCCTTGCCCTGCTCCTGCAAGGCCATCAGGCTTTGATCATCTCCAGCCCCTTGGGCGTTTGCCAGAAGCCAGAGGATGGTCCAAGCCCAGGAAGGCTGGTAGCATGGCCAGGAAGGGGACATGCAGTGTGGGGTCAGCGCTGTGGCTTTGGCAGCTCCTTTGCCTCTGACCCCCGTGGCAGGGCCAGGCCAGACGTGTCCTGGCTCCAGCCTTGCTCCCCAGACACTCCTCAGGTGCTTGGGGAGAGTGGAAACAGTGTCCCTGTCCCTGTCCCCACTTCACAGGGATGGAAACGCCTGCATGGTGATGACAACACCTGGGTCAGGGAACTGACCTAAAATTCACACTCTTAAAATAAAAAAAGCTTGTTTTACTGCATTTCCATTGCCTGATGCTGAGAGAGAGAAGCAAATTAAATTTGGGCTTGAAAGAGCCAGAGGGAGGAGGCTGGAGAGGTGCCAGAGGTCACAAACAGGCCCCGGTGAGGGATGTGTGTTGGCAGACACATGGAAGGAGGGAAGAAGGATGACACGGGTAGCCCTGGGCACAGACAGGGAAGGCAGGTAGGGCTGGGTGGTGCTCAAGGGCCAGCAGAGGTGCCTCAGCTGCAGGGGCTGCAAAGCCTGGAGGGGCTGCCATGTGCCTGCAGGCCCTCTGCAGCAGCCCCCCTCGCAGGGTCTGGCTGGACACTTGCCCAGTGGCGAGAAAGCAGGGCTCAGTGAGGGACAGCAGCCACCCCAGAGGGGCTGCAGCTGGGTCCTGCTCCTGCTGGGCTCCTGGGAGTACCTGGACCCTGCTGAGGCTGGGCTTCTCCAGCACAGAAAACTCTGGGACCAGCCACGGGGTGGCAGCTCAGGCTGGCTGACTCCCGATTGGTTTGGGTTTTTGGTTTTGTTTTGGTTTTTGTTGTTGTTGTTGGGGTTTTTTTTAAATTTTTTTTTTCCTTTCCCTCTTTCCTTATATTTTTTATTAAAAAGGCAAACCTTCTGGGGCCTCCCTGTCCAGCTCACGGGCATGGTAAAGGTTCTGTGCTTTCCCTGGCTTGTCTCCATGCTGGCATAGCATCCAGCAGCATTTCCAGCCCTACTCCTGCATTCTGCTGGCTTCTGAGCCCACAGCCTGTCCTTCAGAGGGGCTGCAGGCAGGACCAAGGGCCAGGAACCTCTGTGCCTCCCCAGGGGAGGCAATGTTCCTGCAGATTTCATCCAAGCAGCACGGGGACACGGGTAGGATGTCCCCAAGTCAGGCAGGCTCCTGGCAGAGCAGGTCACTGGGAGTAGGAACAAGCTCCATGCCTTGGGCAGGGTCTGGCCAGCCTGCCAGAGGGCACAGCCACTGCTTTTATATCAGAGCTGAAACAGGTTTGTTTGGCTTTTTAGCTCTTATTTGCAGTGGTGCCCTGCAGGAGAATGCCAGCTGAAGATTAATTTGTGTCACTGCTCATTTCTGTTCTTCATCTGTGCTGCTGCAAGTGCAGCCTGTGTGCTCCATGCTGACCCCTCTGATCAGGGTCTGGTCCTCAGCCTCAGGTTCCCACGTCTCCATGGGCAGTGATGGAGCTCCTGGGAATGCTGAAGCTGGGCAGTCCTGCTCTGGCTGCTCACTCAGGGCTGGGTCCCCAGAAGAACACTCCCTCTCAGAAGTACTCCTCATGTCTCCCTCTTCCACCTTCCTGCTCCTCTGCAGGCTCAATTCTGTCCCTGGTGCTGTGGGACCCCACAAAACAGAGATAAACCTCCTCTGGGATGATGTCTGGAGGGACATCACCCTCCCAAGGGGGATCCCCACAGGACCAGGAGCTCCTCTTGGTGGCTGCAGGACTGTGCTGAGGCTCAGGATTGCTGATGGGAAGGAAACGTGAGCAAGAGCTGCTGCCCTGGAGAGGTGTCCCAGGATCCGTGTGAGTCCTGCCTCGGGTGAAGGAGCTTCCCAACCCTGTTTCTCCAGGCTCTGCATCCCTGCTTGGGAATGGGGCCGTTCCTCAGCTGTTCTCTGCTCCAGGCCACTTGTTAGAGACCTTTGAGGGGCTGCTCGACCCTTCTGCCCACTGTTCCCTTGGCGCTGCCGCCCACGGTGCAGCCTGCGGACACTGTCTGGCCTCTCCACGGACCCCAGGGCCCTCTGGTCCTGCAGCAGCCCCACCAGCGAGGACCTGCCCCGCCACAGGCGGAGCTGCTGCAGGGAGCTCCGCCGTGTGCCCCGGCAGTGCCAGCCGCAGGGCGCGTTCCCCCCGTATCCCGGGCGGGATGCGCGGCTTCGCCCCGGGTCCGCAGTGCCCGGTGCCGCCCGGCGCCGCGCATCGCCCCGCGGGACGGGGGCACGCGTGGGCCGCCGCTTTCGTCTATATAAGGGCGTCCCGGCCCCGCGGCCCCGGCCCCGCCGCATTCTTCTGCCTTGTATGGGCCGGGCCGGGCCGGGCCGGGACCCTGGGCCCGCCCGCCCCGCGGAGCCGCGTCCCGCAGAGCCCCGCAGAGCCCCGCCGGCCCCGCAGCTCCCGCGCGTCCCGCAGCTCCGGCAGCGCCCGCGGCTCCCCGCTCCGGGACAGGTGAGGCGGCGGCGCCGGGACCGCCCCGGGACGGGAACGAGCGGCCCCGGGACGGGAACGAGCGGCCCCGGGACGGGAACGAGCGGCCCCGGGACGGGAACGAGCGGCCCCGGGACGGGAACGAGCGGCCCCGGGACGGGAACGAGCGGCCCCGGGACGGGAACGAGCGGCCCCGGGACGGGAACGAGCGGCCGCGGCGGGGAGAGAGGGGCGGGATGGAGCGGCGGGATGCAGCGGGAGGGATGGAGCCGAGGCGAGCAGGGAGAGCAGCCCCGGCCGTCCCGGGAGAGCAGGGGGAGCTGGCCCGGCTGCCTCGAGGAGCAGAGGGAGGCAGCTCCGCCGTTCCTCCACCTCTGCGGTGCTGGAGCTGGTGCCGAGGTCAGCCCTGGGGACGGGTTGAGGCAACAGGAGGATCCCCGGATCCTGCCGGGCATCCTGTACCCGGGCAGCCCGGGCAGCCTGTCCTGGAAGGGCAGGTGGGGATGGGTCCTGAGCCAAGCTGAGGGTAGCTGTCTGCAGTGCCTTGGAGCTGGGACATCCTGACTTCCCCGGGATGGCAGAGCTGCAGGAGCAGATCTTGCTGCCCTTGGCTTCACCCACCTCCTGGTCTCTGAGACTGTTCAGTCTGGAACATCTGCTTTTCCTCCAAGTCCTTTTGCCGATAGCCAGGGCCAAGATCCGGATGCATGCATGATGCTCCAGATATCTCCCTAGTGACCTGGGAGCCACTTCAGGCAGTAAACTTCTTTAAGGCAGAAAAGCTTTATTTAGCTCATTTCCTTCAGCCTTAAGCGCAGAGGGATGTTGTGTTTTATTTAGTCTTTCCCATGAAAACTTGAAGTCCTCTTGGCTTCCCTCCCAGCATGCCCTTTTGGTACAAAATGTTTCGATTGTGATAAAAGCCAGGCAAGCTCTAAAACATGGATGTGTAGGAGAAGGCGGCGGCCAGAGCTGAATTCTTTGGAGTGGAACATCCCCAAGTGTTAACAACCACCGCTGCTGACCAAAGATGGTTGGGTTCCTTCAGTCGCTGGAATTTTTTTCCTCTCTCCCTGGCAGCTCTCTGCGGTTGTAGGAGGAGTTTGCGGTCACCTCCCCCCTCCGAGGCGCTGCGGCCACATTCCCCCGCCGAGGTGAGCCCCTTAATTCCCCTGGGAAAATAGCAAACTCCGGCCAGGAACGTTATGCTGACTGCCCGAGGCCATGAAGACCTTGTGCCTGTGGTCCCTTTCCCGGCCTCCCCGGGCATCGGAAGGGGCTGGGTGCTTTGCACACCGAGGCTCTCTGTGCCCGGGCTTCTCCTGGGGGGCTGCAGAACTTGTGCTTTGGAGGGGTTTGCGTGCGTCACACGGTGGATCCTTGTCTCCTACACTTGGTGGGAAGCAGCTAGTCCAGAAACCATCTGCTGAACTTGCAGCTGAGCCCCACAGCTGCGCATGGATCCCCGTGTCCGGTGGAAGCTGGGGGAGGGCTGGGATGAGCTCTGCCTCCCCGGGGGTTGCTGCACACTTTGCTCTGCCTGATGCTGCCCTGGCCCTTCCTCCCTGGCATCAGTGCGGGTGACCGTGGCTGGACTGGAGACACAGCCCAGGGCTCAGGGTCTGCTTTCATCTCACCTCCAGGCTCCCTTTCCCACATCTCTAATAAGGCCATAAAAGGAGCAGAATGGCAGCTGCCTGCATTCCTGCAGTGTCGAGTGGGCTGAGGATTCCTCCCGTAGCTGCCGGTGCCTCTGGCTGGCAGCGGGGCTCCCCTCTCACCAGAAACCCTCCTTGGTGAAACTGAGCAATGCCACATCCCACGGGCATCCTGAGCAGGACTGTGCTGGAGGAAAGGGATGGTTTAACAACAAAAGAACCAGGGAAGATGAGCTGGTCCCTGCTCCCTCCCCCAGTGTGACCAGCCGGTGAGCAGCCCCGGGGCTGTGAGAGGTGCCTTCGGCTGGCAAAGCTTTAGGGTGGAACGATGTTTCCCCCTCCTGTGCCAGGGGCATGCACAAGGTACCACCTCACCTCGCTGGCCCTCGTGCCCCCCTGGAGCAGGGCTGGGAGCTGCTGCCTGTGTGGGGCTGCCGTGCTGGGGGCCAGCGCTTGCCCACCAGTGGATGTGACTGCCTCGTGGCTTGCTGGTACTCACAACTCTCTTTGGGGACTCGGCAGAGGTTTGAGCACGGTTCCCCCTGAGGAGCCAGTGTTTGCCTGCAGGAGTGTCCCTCGGGACAGCCCAGGCTGCTGGAATCACTCTTTGCCTCCCTGAGCCAAAGCATCTGGCGGAGGCACATCGGCACATCGTGCCTCTCTCTGCCAGGATCCTGTGGAGGAGCTCTGGAGCAGAAGTCTCTGCCCGGCTGTGCCAGGGACGGCAGGGCAGTCCCACTGCAGCCTCCTCAGCACTTCCAGAGGTGGCTCCTGCTGGAGCAGCTTTTGAGCAGCCATCCCTGGGAAACCCTTAGCAGCATATCCTGGGAGATCATAGCTTCAACATCCATGTGAACACCCCAGAGGCTGGGGACAGGCTGCTGCCACCTCTGCCGGAGGAGCTGCCCTGTCCCCTTCCTGCCCTCCTCCTTCGGGCCGCCCAGCCTGTCACAGCACCCGCAGCCCAGCGGTGAGCTCCCCCGGGAGAGTGAGCTGGGACAGCACAGGAGGAGCTGCAGGGCAGGGTGGAAGCAGGTAGGAGGGGGAGGATGGGGCTGGGACAGGCTGCCTGCCCTGGCAGCACTGCCGTGTCCCTTTGGCTTGTCCCAGCCTCCCCAGCCCAGCCAGGAAGCAGCACTGGGATGGAGTTGCTTGCTTGGTTTTTACCAAGGAGGAAACACGTGGCACTTTATATTTCGGATAACTGTGGGTCCTTTCCTCTTTCAAACTAAACTATTTACTAATTTATGAACTCTATAGGTCAGCCCCATGGTCCCTTGGGTCTGGCTCTCAGGTGAGGAGGCACAAGCTTGGCAGGAGATCATTTTGCCTCCACTGCAAGAGGCTGGGAAATTGTTTTGGCAGAGGCAGTGGCAGAGGGACAAGGGAACAAGGGCAGCTGGTGACAGGGGGAGTTGGGGACCAGATCAGTGTGTGGCTGTCACCCAGCACTGACCTCCTTGGTTCTGCTGCCCAGGATCCACAGTTCCTGGGCTGGAGCAGTGCTGGGACAGGGCTTTCAGCAGGGGGTGCCGGAGCAAGACCTGTGTCCATGCATTTCCCTCCTGCTGAGGGGAAGCTGGAACTTTGGTGGCTGCGCCATTTGTCTGAGCTGAGGCTAGCCCAGCTTGCAGGGCATCATGGCCAGGCATTCCCTGCAATGCTCTTGGAACTGGGTTTTGGGAATCCAAGAAAGCATGGCTTTGAGAGCCAGGGGAGCGTGGCCATCAAAGCCTTGTGTAGAGCAGGAACTGCTCCAGCTGAATCAGGCCTGGCTGCAGATCCCTGCACAGAATCCATGCACAGGAATCTTTCCCCACACTGACCCAAAAATCTCTTCCCCAATCCCAGCCAGCCCAAGGCAGCTGTCAAACAGCAGAGACAGAATGACTGAGCTGGACCTTGGGACTGAGCATCTTTCCAGGGCACATTTTAGATCAAACTGCAGATCCGTGTGCTGTACTTAATCCTGCTGAAGAGCACTCTCTGTGGAGATGGTGCCAAGCTGTGCTGCTGCTGGTCACAGTCAGGGCAGGGTAAATAATTGGATAATATTAATTCATGTCGTGAGAGTAAAACTCCTGCTTATTTCTACAGTCTTCTGCTAATAATTCTGCTAATAATTTGATGTGCTTTGAAAGCTGAGCCCAGTGCCATGGGCCAGCAGCAGAGCTTTTATTTCTGGCTCTGACTCGCCCTGGTGGTGTTGAACTGAGCTTCCCACGCTGCTGCCGTGGGATGTCACCGGCCCCTTCCATCTGGGGGTGTCACTGGTGCCATCTGGGGGTGTCACTGGTGCCATCTGGGGGTGTCACTGGTGCTCGGTGCTGCCTGGCAGGGCACGCAGAGAGGGGCTGGCCTGCTGCAAAGAGCTCTGTGGGGCTGGAGGAAGCAGCAGGCAGAGGTGGACTGGGGGATGAGATCTCCAGCTCAACCAGTGTGGGCACAGCTGGGCTCCCCCGTCCTGCTGCTCCCCTTGGCTGCCTAGTGACAAACATCTCTTTCCTGGCGGGCACTGGGAAAGGAGGGAGAGTTCAGGGGATGTGGGTGGTTTGGTGGCTGCTGTCAGGAGGTGAGGTCAGCACAAAGGAGAGGGCTGAGGGAGGTGTGGATTCCATCCTGGAGTGGGGGCATATGGGAGAAGAGGAGGACTCCTGGGGACGTGGAGCATGTTCCCTGCAGATGAAGGGCGCTGCCTGGACTCTGTGTGTGCTTCCACAGTGGGATGGGAGCCTTGTCAGGATGTGGGAAGAGGTGCCCTGCCCTCTCTGAGCTTGGCTGGTCACTATGGTGTGTTGGGCTGTGATTTGGCACTGCCTGATGCCCTTGGAATGTTCTTCCAGCACAGCCCAGCTGCGGGAACCTGGAGACCACAGCAGGCTGAGGACCGGGCTGGTGGTCCCCTGCCCCAGCCCTTACCTCTGCTGCCCCTTGAGAGAGTGATATCAGGAGGGGAAGAAGAGACCTGGAGAGTGGTTCTGGTGTGAGGAGGGGAGGGGAAGGCTCTCTGAAGGTTGTTTGCTCTGCTCTGGTCCATGTCAGCACCAGGGGATGTTCCCCAGGTTCCCGTGGTCCCTCTGGGCTCAGCACTAAGGACCCAGCTGGGAAGCAGATTCCAGAGCAGATCCCAGAGCAGCCCACTCAGGGTGTCCAGCCCGGCAGGGACCGTCCTCCTGCAGCTCACTGGGGTGTGTCTCCATGAGAGAGGATGTGGCTCCTGAATTGCTCCATCCCTGGGCACTGATGAGGAGTCCAAGTCCTGCAGCCCAGCAGGCATGGGGCACACAGAGCACAGGACTGATTCTCTGCTCTTCCACCATGGAATCCCTTCATGATCCATTAATTTGTTATTGCCCCAGCAGCTGCTGGCCAAGAGGAGAGTCAGGGCTGTGTGTGAGGGAGGAATGGCTGCGGCACAAACACGAGGGCTCGGAGCACTGTCCCTTCCCTGGGGTGTCCCACAGGACCATCCCAGCCTGTCCCACAGGCCAAGCTGGGCTTTGCTGCCATCCTGCTGGGCTAAGCCGGCAAGATTCCCCTGGGAGGCACCTGAGCATCCTCCTCTCAGGCAGTGTCAGGGGAGCAGGCTGTTCCAAACCCTGAGTGCATCCCTCAGACTGGTGTGGGGACACCACCAGCCCCTGCTGGGAGCCTGAGGGGGACTGGATGCCATCCCGGGCTGGGAGTGGGCTCTCTGCTCCAGCCCTGTTCCTGCTGGGGGCCCCAGTTCCAGCTGGGCACAGCAACCTCCACCTTGGAAGGACCAGGTTTTCCTGCCGTTGTCCTGCCTCAGTGGTGCTTGGGGTCCACATGGTGCCTGTGCCATTCCCCGTGGGACACACACTGTCCCCAAAGGTGGGTCTGTCCCACTGCTTCTCCCCCTTCTCCTGGCATTCATTACCTGTAACCACAGCACCATCCTCAGTGCCCTGGGGCTCTTGGCTCCTCTCCTGGCTCTGCAGCCCTCTGAGGTCAGTGGTCCCCTCTCCCCTCTGCCTCTTCCCGTGGGCTCCCTGGGCGGGGGGGTGGGGGTCACTGGGACAGGGAGGCAGCAGCAAGAGGTCTTTCACCCACCAGGGGTGGGATGGATGGATGGACGGATGGACGGACAGATGGAGGGACATGGGAAGCAGTGGTGTGTGAGGAATGTGTCTGGAGCAGATAACCCCCCTGTGCTGGTTGCTGGGGCTGCTTTGGCGCTGTGACACAGAGGGTGTGAGGGTGACCAGCCAGCCTGGCAGCTGGGCTGGGCCTGGAGAGCCTGCCAGGGCGAGGGGAGGTGGAGAGGCACAGCCACGGTGACTAAAGTGCTGAAACCTCCATCCCCATGGCCCTGGGACTGGCACCCAGCCAGGTGCTGGGCTGGGTGTCTCTCCCTGTGCCCGGATGTGCAGAAAGGACAGGCAGCAAGTGGGTTTGGGGGCTGCCTGCAGCCCTGGGGGACAGTCCTGGGGAACTGCAGTGAGCACTGCCTGCTCTGTGACTGCCCGTGGAACTCATCAGAGCTCAAGTCCTGCCCATCCCCATGTCTGACCTTGTGGCTGCCTCATCTCCCTGTGTTGCCCAAGTGTGTGACAGCTGGGGAAACCGAGGCACAGCACCAGAGGTGCCAGGGGCAGTGTGTCCCTGCTCTGGCCCCCTGGCTCAGCCGGTCCCCAGCCCTCCTGATGCTCCTGCCCCCAGGTACTCCCCCAGCCACCAAGATGTCCAGCAAACGTGCCAAAGCCAAGACCACCAAGAAGCGCCCCCAGCGCGCCACCTCCAACGTCTTTGCCATGTTCGACCAGTCCCAGATCCAGGAGTTCAAGGAGGCTTTCAACATGATCGACCAGAACCGAGATGGCTTCATTGACAAGGAGGATCTGCACGACATGCTGGCTTCCCTCGGTGAGGACACCCTGCCCCCGTGCCCCAGCAGGTCCCTCCACCCTGGCCCCAGCTCGGGAGCAGGGAGAGCTGCAGGGTGACCTCGTGCCCACACCCAGCGCTGGACACTGGCTGTGCTGGGATGTCTCTGTTCCACCAGCTGACAGAAGGGGTGTTTGTGAGGCGTCCAAGGGCAGCAGCTCTGTGTGCTGCTCACAGGTGCACTCACCAGAAAGGAAGAGACCCTCAGAGCTGGAGAAGCTCTGCCCTGGGAGCAGCCACCAGCTGCAGCCATGGAATGTTTGAGTAGTCTCACCCCAGAATGTCACTGGGGCTGTCCCACGTGGAACAAAGGCCTCTCGTTGCTCTCAGCTGGGTGACAAAGGCAGGTCCCCGTGCTGGTGTGATACCTGGGCTGGTTGAGACTTGCAGCTCTGTACCCACTCCCTGCCCTGAGCCATTCTCCTTTGAGGCAGACTATGGCTCCCTCCTCCCCCCCGCAGTGGTATCTCCACTGCGCTTTGGGAGGTCTGTCAATGATTGACCTGGCAGCCAAACCTGTTCTGGAGGTCCTGCCTGACCAGGGAGCTGGAGCTCTGGGAGCAGAGAGGGGCCAGCACGGGGGGCACAGAGCTCAGCAGAGCAGCTGAACCATCCCTGATGCACCCACGGTGGGACCAGTGCTGGGGACATCAGCAGCACGAGGCTTGTATGAGGACACTGCTGCACTGCTGCCCCTCTCCTCGGAGCTGTCAGGGGGAATGGGAAAAGCTATGGGTTTCATTCCAGTAACCCCCAAATGAATTACTGCACTTCCCCAAGGCAGAGCTTGTTCCCAGGTGTAGATGAAAGCATCAGGAGAGATGCTGAGGGGGGAGCACTGGGCACTGCAGAAACTCCTTTCCCATGTTTGTGGGGTGGGTGAACAAGAAGCAGCAGATCGATTTGCAATGGATAAAAGCCATTCCAGCTGTTTGTTTGAATGGGCTCACCCCGGGGATGGGAGCTGGGGGAGCAGGGCCCTGCATCCACCCCCTGCCCGTGTCCTGCAGGGAAGAACCCCACTGACGAGTACCTGGAGGGGATGATGAGCGAGGCACCGGGGCCCATCAACTTCACCATGTTCCTCACCATGTTCGGGGAGAAGCTGAACGGCACGGACCCCGAGGACGTGATCCGCAACGCCTTCGCCTGCTTCGACGAGGAGGCCTCAGGTACAGCCCAGCCCCTGTGCACAGCCAGCGCGGGGGCTGGGCCGCACGGCTGCCGGAACCCTCCCCAGGCAGCTCCAGAGCAGGATGTCTTTGGGAGAGCTGGGCGAGGTGCCGTGCTCAGCCCTCCTGGTGCCCCCTGCTAACGCTGCCCCCTGCCCTCCTTGCAGGCTTCATCCACGAGGACCACCTGCGTGAGCTGCTGACCACCATGGGGGACAGGTTCACTGACGAGGAGGTGGATGAGATGTACCGGGAGGCACCCATCGACAAAAAGGGCAACTTCAACTACGTGGAGTTCACCCGCATCCTGAAGCACGGGGCCAAGGACAAGGACGATTAGAGCCCGCAGCCACTCACCCCTACTGCCCAATCCCCTGCACATCCCCCTGGCCCCCTTGCTGCCCCACAGCAGACTCCTCCCACGGGAAACACCTTCCAGGATCATCACCCTGCATCAGGACACGGCTGGAGGGAACACACTCCCATCACTGTGCTGCAGTGTGCCCATCCAGCCTTCCCCTCCTATCACCTCTCCCGCCCACTGGGCGCCCCAGCCTTGCTGTGACCTCCCCCCCAGCAGCCACTGACCCCCTCAAAGCCACTATGCCACTGGTCCCGGGGCTGGGGTGAGCATCCCCTGCTGACCTGCAGGGGTTTGGGCTGGCTCCAGCCTGAGCAAGCCCCAGTCAGGGCCATAGCACAGAGGAAAAGCCTCTCTCCCTCTTCTCCCACACTCCCCCTTCAGAAAAGATCCCCCACTTTGTTCCTCCTCCCTGGCTGTTTAATGGCTTTGGAGCCTGAGATCTGAGGGATTCAGGAAGCTGGAGGGGTGTATAAAGCCTGACAGGTGTGACAGACGTGTGCTGTGTGTGGCTGCCTTGTGCCCCCCGGGCTGTGCCCAGTGCCTGGGGAAGGTGGGTTTGGTTGGGCAGTGCAGCTCCTCACCTTGCTGCCCTTGTCATCCAGGGCCCCTTGCAATGGGGCAGCCTGGTTTTGAAGCCAAATTGCTCTCAAATTACGTAAAATCAGCTTGAGCATCATTTTCTGCCTTAGCTGGTGGGCTGAAGGTCGTTCTGCTGAGCCCTTACGTCAGGATGGGCTGAGACACTTGGCAAGGTGCCAGCCATGCTCCCCACATCACCTGGCCCAGGGTCTCAGGGGCTTGGCCACCCTTCTGTGTCACCCTGCACGGGTGGGGGAGCAAGAGACAGAGAGGATAAGAAATGGGGAGGAGCTTTGTCCCCTTGGTTTGGTTATTTTTCACCTCCCAGACAAGGATGTGGGAGCATGGGGCGCTCCCACCTTATGAAGCTGTGGTCTGAAAATGCTGCTAGAAGGCTGCCCTGGAGGGAGGCACGAGTTCCAGCAATTCCTTATTTAAAATGGGGGAACAAACCTACAAAACCTGATGAGGGCATAGTGCACGCTAGAGATGCTGCCAGTGCTTGGGTACGGTCTGTGGGATCTCCATGGCATACTCAGAGGCCTCAGAGACACTCCAGGCCCCAGGTGCTGCTCTCTCACCTGGGAGGTGATCCATGAATGAAAAGCTTCTCCTTGGTCTCAGTGCTCCTATTTTGCAGGCACTACCAACACCAGGAAATATAAAGCAAATTGTCAGATGTGAAAGGGTGACCTGTGATCGCCAGGGAGTTCCCCAGGGTCAGGGCTTGTGCTCTGCAGCAGCAGCCCCAAACCAGCCCACCTCCAGCCTCATGGGTACCAAGCTTCTTCCCTGATTCACTGCTGTGCCAGAGAAAAGCTACAGTTCTCTCACAGCCAGAGAGAATTCCCAGCCTGAAGGCTTCTGGAGGCCTGGGTGCTTTGTAAAACCTTCACTTGGACACCCAGCGGATGAACACCCACAGACATCACTTTGGGGCAGAGGAGCTGGTGCTGGAGGTGTGGACAGATTGGCTCCTGGGGCAGCTGCATGTAGGAGTGCTGCTCAGCCCCTCTGAGCCCAGGGGATCCCCCTGTGTGAGCAGCCCAGATCCTCACAGTGCCAGGAGTGGGATGGACTCACTGCTGCTCCGAGCTGGGAGCTGCCACAGGCTCCAGCCTGGGGCTGTCAGAGCTGCTGCCTCGAGCAGCTGCCAGAACTGCTGGGTCTGAGCTGCCTCTTCACTGGCATGGCTGTGGTGGCACCGTGGGACTTTCGACCCTGAAGCAGCAAAGCAGAACAAATTTGTTATTGGACACTGAGGTATTTATGGGAAGAGTAAATAAACTTCACTGGCACAGGCTTCCCAGAGCAGCTGTGGCTGCCCCACCCCTGGAAGTGTCCAAGGCCAGGTTAGACAGGACTTGGAGCACCCTGGGTTAGTGGAAGGTGTCCCTGCCCATTGCGGGGGGGGGGAATGAGATGAGCTTTAAGGTCCCCTCAAACCCAAACCGTTCTGGGATTTGATGAATCTATGAAACTCCAAAACTATCTGGGCTCACGTGAACCTCCTGGAGTTCAGCCAGGCCAGGTGCAAGGTCCTGCACCTGGGTCAGGGCAGCCCCAGCACCAGCACGGGCTGGGGCTGGGTGGGCAGGGAGCAGCCCTGGGAGACGGACTTGGGGGTGCTGGTGGTGACAAACTGGATGTGACCTGGCCATGGGCACTGGCAGCCCACAAAGTCAACTGTCCTTGGGCTGCATCAGAAACAGCAGAGGCAGCAGCTGGACCTGACCTGTTTCGTTTCAAAGGTATTAAATAGCAGCAAAATAAAGACATCCATTTCAGAAGTGTTCACTTGGGACAGGGGAACACCAAGTTAGGTGAACCTATTGGTCAGTCTAGAAGAGCTGCTCCCAGTGCAGAAGTGTCTCCTGAGCTCGGAGGGCCCCTCCTGTGTGTCACTTTGTGCCCGAGCCCCCTGGAGCTGTCCCTGGCCCTGTCTCCTCTGCAGCCTCTCCCCGGGTTTTTATCCCCAGGGATGAGATGCCCTGAGCCTGCTCTGCTCCAGGCTGGGCAGTGCCAGCTCTCTCAGCCTCTCCTCATGGCAGAGATGCTCCAGTCCCTGCATCACCTTCATGGCCCTGTGCTGGACTCTGTCCACTCTGTCCCTGACTCCTGTACTGGGCAGCCCAGCTCTGGGCCTGGTCTGTGACAGCTCCCAGTGCAGCCCAGGACCCCCTGACCCCGGAGTGTTTGCTTTTCTGTGTGAGCTCCTGGTGTCCCCACACTCCTCCTGTCATGTCCAGAGATGTAAATTTAGAGGAACATCAGAGAGGAAAGGGTACAGCAGTACAAGAGTGCCTGCTGAGAGGGTCTGTCCTGCCCTACGGCCTCCAGGAAGGAAACAGAGCAGGGCTACCCTGTGGGAAGGGGCAGGAGGAGATGGAGGGACTGCAGTGCCCAGGAGAGGGGCTCCAGCTGGAGCCCAGCTCCCAGAACCAGTCCTGCTGTGGGAATCCCAGCCTGCAGCAGGTCCAGTGGCCCTGAGCAGGGAGAAGGACCTGCTGCTGCAGCAGTAGCCCCAAGGGCAGGGTGGCAGCAAACACCCAGCACAGCCAAGCACAAGTCCAATTTGCCTTGCTAAAAATGCAGATTGAAGATCAGAGGGTGGGCAGAGGGTGGATAGAGTCCAGTATGGGAAGTGTCCATGCCTGGGAGACTGGCTGGGGATTCCAGCATCCCCCTGAGGTGTCAAGCATTCCCCTGGGAATTCCAGCTTCCTCTGGGAGTTCCAGCTTTCCCTGGATTTCCAGCATCACCCTGGGGTTCCCAGAATCCCTCTGGGTTTCCAGCGTTCCCCCTCAGGCTCTTGTTGGCTGATTGTTGTTCAAATTGCTGAAGTTTAGCAGTATTATCATGTCAATGAGCCCGGGCAGGGCTCAGCACGGACAAGCCGCGAGTGAGAAAGACAGGGAGATGCACCACAGCCCCTTCCCTGGCCCCTCATCCCAGAGGCTCCTTACTCCCCATCAGCCGGGAGCTCTCTGGGATGCCAGGCTGGGCTTGCCCTGGGATTCAGGCTCCTTCCACGCTCCGCTCAGGCACCCGATGGCATTTTTCCAAAGTTGCTTCTACACTACCAGTCCAGGGAGGAAAGGCAGGTGGAGGGACCCGGGCAGGGCTCCCGGCCCGGCCCTGGGGGGTGGTTGAGCACAGGGACCCTTTCCCGCTTGTCTCAATTCGGCGGAAGACTAAACCAGCATTTCCCCAAAGGTGGGAGCATAGCAGGCTGCTCAGGAGGACGGTCCTGCTGGGGCACCGTGGCTGGCACAGCCCGGGCAGCGCGGGGGTGTCGGGTCTGTCCCACGCGGTGCAGGATGAGCCCTCCCTCCCGGGGATGGCCGTGCTGCACAGCGGGCAGGAGCCAGCCTGCTGTCAGGAGGCCGGGGGTGCTCCCTGCCCCGAGTGACCCTGCAGGGGGTGGGAGGTGCTGCCACGGCTCCCCACACCCACCCGTGCTTCGCCAGCCCCGCTGCCTTGACATTAATGCAGCGATAGCAGATCTGGACACAGCTCCGCTCAGGTCATGGAAGATTTAGAAACAACAAAATAAATGATTTAAGGAGTTCTCCTTTTTCTTTTGCTATTTAATCCCTTATTGCACCACATATCCTGCTTTTCCCAGACCAAAAATAGCCCATAAAACAAGGGGGTTTGTAGCTTTTTCAATACATGCAGGGATTTCCATCTTTTAGCCTGCAAGCAGCAAAGGAGCTGCAGCACAGAGGTGACGGAGCCTGGGAGGGGAGAGCTGCCCCTGGAGCGGCGTGACATCAAGGCAGGTCTTGATGGGGAGAGGTGGAGCAGGAGCCGGCGAGGTCCGGGGTGCTGTGCCCCAGCAGCACACAGCTCCTGGGGGAGGCCCACGCGTGTGCTTGGCCTGGCGGGGGTGAGCGTGGATGTGCTCAAGACAGGGGAGGGACATCCCAAAAAGGACATCCCCAAGAGATGCCCCCCAAGACAGGGGGCTCTCAGCAGGCAGGGCTCTGGGTTGGCTGCAGGACAGGGTTTCCATGGTGGCACTTTGTCCATCATGGGCGCTGGGATGTGGCACCACTGCTCAGAGCAGCTCCTCTCTCTTCCCACTGATGAAGGCACCTCTCCAGGGGACCCCTGACGGACACATCCCCTTGGGCTCCACTGAGCACCTGGTGGAGGGTGACAGTGCAACCCAGCCCCACAGCACACAGGGCACACAGCTGTGCTGGGGAAATCTCATGCTCATCACATCCTGGACCAGCAGCACATAAACGGAGCAATTTGGTCCCCAAAACTCCGAAGGTGACCTTGGGCTCTGCTGTGGTCATGGAGAGGCACAGGGAGAGCAGAAAGGTTTCCAGAGGCCTTGGCCAGCCTGATGGCCATGGCACAGCAAGGGCTCCACCTGGTTTCTTCTTGGTCACCACCCTTGCCTGGAAACACCTTCCGCTGTCATAGGAGCAGTGATGTGCTGGGCTTCTGATTTCCCATCTGGTAAACACCAAACAAAGCACTGGTGGAACTTCAAGGTGCTCTGAGGTCCCCAGGGCTGTCACCCACACCTGCCCCTGCAGCTCCTGTCCCAAGGTCTGTCCTTGTCCCTGTCTCCTGCCCACAGACTGGGGCCCAGCTACAGGATTCAGCCAGGGGAAAGGAACTTGTGCAGTGCCTTGTGGGGCACCCCTGTGTGGATGTCCGTGGGTGGGAGTTCCAAAGTGGCTGTCCCTGGGTGGGTGTCCCCAGGGTTGGCTGTCCCCACGTGTGTGCCCGTGCTGGGCCCCTGTGCGGGTGCAGCTCCGCGGGGCCGGGCGGGTGCGGGGGCTCCGGGGCTCCCTCTGTCCCTGCCCCCTCCCGCCGGGGGCCGTGTCCGGCAGCGGGGCCGAGCCCGGGGGTGCGCCGGCGCCAGGTACGGGCCGGGACTCCGCGGGGCGGCGGGGGGGCTCGGCGGCGGGGGCGGGGGGCCCGGCGAGTTCCTGCCTCCTCGGGAACAAAGGGAACTCTGTCTCGGCATCTGTCACCGCCGCCCACCCAAAACTTTCCGCCGCGCCCGGCTGCCCGCCCGCCGCCGCGGGACGGCCCCGCACCGGCCCCGGCACCGAGACCCCGGCGCGGCCCATGCGAGCGCCCAGGCGGCGGCGGCGGCCCGGGGGTGAGCGCAAAGATGGATCCCGGGGGGCGCGGGGGGAGCGGGGCGGCCCCGCGCCTTTGTGCGGGACGGAGCGGGACGGGCCGCGCCGGCGCTTCCCGAAGTTTGCGGGAGCCGCGGCCGGGGGTCCCGCCCGCCCCCGCTGCAGCTCGGAGTTACGGCGGAGTTTGCCCGGCCGGGGACAACTCGGGGCCGGCGGCAGAGTGCGGGGGCCGCGCTCCGGCTCCTCTCTGCCCCCGCCGCCCGAGGGGCCGCGGCCGCCGCTGCCCCGCTTTGTGTCGGCGGCCCCGGCCCCTCGCTGCCTGTTGCGGCCGGAGGGGCGGCGGGGCCCGGCCCGCAGCGCCCGCTCCGCCGAGCCCCGGCCCGTGACAGCCGCCCCCGCCTCCATCCCCGCCGCACAATGACCCCGCGTGGTTCCTCTCCCACTCTCCAGCTCCGGCCTCTTTCTCCTGCTGAGATTGTTTTTGTTTTTAACTTCCCCTCCTCCACCCTGCCCCATGCTTGATTTTTTTTTTTCCTCCGTTGCGGAGCCCCCCGAACCCCGAGTTCCCCCGAGCCCCGTGCGTGCGCCGAGATCCTCCGCACCCCCGGGGCTCTGTTCGGTGCCCCTGTTGTCCCGCCGGTGCCGGTCGTTCGTACCCCCCACCGGGGGTCTCTGCCTCGGGATTCCCCCCAGGCGGGCCCGGAGGGGGTGAGACCCCCGTTGGAGGCGGGGGGAGGTCGGTGGGAGGCTCCTTCCCCTCCCCCGACCGGAGACCGCCTGAAGCTCCCTTTGGTTCCCCCTCTCCAGGCTTCAGCCAGGGGGGTCCCGCGGGCAGCTCCACCATGTCGGACAGTGACCCGGGGGATGAGGACGGAGCCACATCCCCTGACCCCTCGCAGTGCAAGAGGAAGAGAAGGGGCAACCTCCCCAAGGAGTCGGTGAAGATCCTGCGGGACTGGCTGTACGAGCACCGCTTCAACGCCTATCCCTCGGAGCAGGAGAAGCTCAGCCTCTCAGGGCAGACCAGCCTCTCCGTGCTGCAGGTAGGAGCCGGCGCCCACCCGCCGGGGACACCTCTGGGGACACTGCCATGAGCTGTGGGACAGGAGAACCCCGCCGAGGATCCCAAAGGTCTGGGCAGGCAGGGATCATTTGCCACTGAAGGGCAGAAAGGAAGCGGGGGAAGGGATGTTGGGGAAGGAAAGGCACCTGTGTGAAGGGAGGGTCTTTTCTGGGGAGAGGTCTGAGCTCTGGGGACCAGCTCTGCTGGAGCCAGACGGCGGAGGGACTGGAGTGGGGACAGGCTGAATACCCCGTTGTCAGTAGAAGCTGCACAGGTGGGAGGGTTTTGGGGGAAGCTGCTCGATCCTGTGCCCCTGGACACCCCCAGCAGGATGACCACCCCCTGCACACAGAGCTGGGCAGAGGACAGCCCTGGGGCTGGGCAAGGCCCGGAGTTGGACTTGATGATCTTTGTGGATCCCTTCCAGCTGAGGGTATCCTGTGATTTTAACCAGAAGGGAGAGGCTGGGCTGCACTTGGAGTGCCCTGCACTGTTACGTGCTGGCTGCCCACCTGGTCCGGGTTACACCAGCTGCATTAAGGGGAGCAGGAGTCTCCCTGTCCTGCTCCCAGCTGTGGGCTGATGTTTTCCATGTGGCACCATGTGGCAGGAGCCCTGGGCAGCAGTGGGGGTGAGCAGTGCTTGTCCTTCCCACTCTGGTGTGGTCCCTGCCTGTGTTTGGGCTGTCTGGGAGGGCCTGCCCAGCTGCTGGCCCTGTGCTCCACGCTCAGCCCTGGTGCCCTGGGCTCTGTCCCCCTCTGCCAGCCTGGCAGGGTGTGGGCTGTTCTCTGGCTCTGGGCTGCAGTGGGATGCAGGCAGCAGGCAAGGGCCACTGGCTTTGCTCCTCTCCTGGAGCTTCCTCTGTACCTCTGGCTCCTCTCCCCGTGGCTCAGCACAGTCCTGGCAAGCTGTGCCAGCCCAGACACTGACTGTGGGCAGGGGCTGTCTGCTTCCCCGCTTCCTGGGCAGCAAGGCAAACCTGCTCTTTCACTTTGATGTGTTTCCATGAGTGCTGGCTGTGCCACAGAACCGTGTCCAGCAGCTGCTCGGGGACAGCCTGGAGCCCCCGGGCAGGCTTGAGGCTGAGAGTCAGGGGAGCAGTGAAGCAGTGACAGGCCCGGGCTGTGGGACCTGGGCAGGTCCTGGCCCGGGTTGGCATGGCACATGGGGGTTGCCAAGGCTCGGGCGGGTGCCCGGCTGTCAGTGCCCTGAGCCCCGTGGGACCCACAGGGGACAGTGCCTGGCACATGGGGGTTGCCAGGGCTCGGGCGGGACTGGCAGGTGCCCGGCTGTCAGTGCCCTGAGCCCCGTGGGACCCACAGGGGGCTGGCACACGGGTGGGCTCGTGTTGAGGTGTGGCCCTGCAGTGTGCCAGCTGTTGTTTGCCCCAGGTGACCCCAGAGCCAGCGTGTGCCCCCGGTGCCCACTGTGCCGAGGGTCCCAGCCCGGTGGCATTCCCCATTGCCAGCTGAGGGCTGGGACCGGGGTTTCTGCCAACCTGAGGGGCTGCAGCAGGAACCCCTGGGGATGCTCCCTCTGCCTGCTGGGGTGGAGGAATGGGACACCCCACAGTCTAGCTGTGGGATTCAGTCTGTGATGCTGATCTGACCTCTCCAAAAAGCCTCTGGAATGCAGGGCTCTGCCATAGCCACTGGCCAACCCTCGTCCCCCGCCATCCCCCCCACCCCCAGGTTGTTTCTTTGTGCACCCCTTGGCTGCTCCAGCGGCCCAGGGAGCTGGAGCTATGCACTGGCAGCCAGGGATCAGGGAGAGCAGGAAGCCCTGTGCCTCCCTTGCAGGAATTCCAGCGCTAGGAAGGTGGCACCTGGTCCCACTGAGGCTTCCTGGACAGCAGCAACTTTCCAAGCCTGTGCCCAGCTGTGGGATGGATGGGCTTTTCCTCCCTATGGAGGAGCTGCTGCTCTCACAGTGCAGAGGGACAGACACTGCCCAAAGGGACAGAGCGGGGTATGCTGGCGAGAGGAAAAGGGATGGACTAAACCAAATAAACTGCTTCAGAGCCAGAGTGTGTGCCAGCTCTGTGACAGTGCCTGCTGTCACAGTGGCTGTGTGGCCCCGTCTCCGTGCCCCATTCTCCAATGGGAATTGAATGCTGGAAGGAGCATGTTGGTGGGGACAGGTTGGATTTTGGGGCTTCTCAGCACTGAGGAGTTGGGCTTTTTGTTGAGTTGGGGATCACAATGGTGGATGGCCAGGATCATGTCACGGGGACCCAGCTAAGTCCTGCAAGGGAGGGGGTGTGGAACAGAAAAGGGAGTAAGACTGGTGTATTTGAGGGTTTTAGTGCTAAATACTGTCATAAAGAAAAAAATGACAACTGCGATCTTGCTGTGACTGAAGTTGTGGCAAATTCTCTCTCCTTGGGGGAAATATTTTCCATAGCTGTTTATTTAGGAAAAATCAGACTTTTTTCCTCCCTTGATTTATTATCTTCTAATTGTTTTCTAGGAAGAAGGCAGTTATTTAAATGTAGCATTTTATATAAAGATGGTGAAACCATCCATGGCCGAGGCTCAGTAATGGCAAAGGGCTGCCAGACATGCAGCCTCCATGCTGTGCAGTTGTTTGGGAGAGCCTTTGGTGTGAGTTGTGACCCTGCTCATGGGCGTAGGCATGGGAAGGTGTCTCTGCTGCCCCAATCCTGGCCCTGTTATGGGCTGAGGGGCTGCAGTTCCATCACCTGATGGCTTCTAGGGTTTTCCATCTGTGCTGCTCTCCTGCCACCCGTCTGCTCTGGCAGCCTCAGTGCTCCTGTTCGGGTTGGCAGCAGTGTGGAAACAGGGCTGAGCTCCAGGCAGGATAGGTCACCTGGAGAAGGAAAATCTGTCCCCAGGCTGAGGAGCTGCAGAGTGGGCTCCGAGCTGGCTCTGTGCAATGCCATGGGCTCTGGCTGGGGAATGGCAGGAGCGGTGCTGTACCTGCCTGCAGCTGGGGCCTCGGGGCTGCAGTGGGGGCACAGCACTGAGCCCCTCCTGCCCTGGGGGCCGCTCTGCTGAGAACCCCCGCAGCTCCCGGGGCTCCGGGCACAGCTGCTGCGGCTGGGGGTGGCTCGGCCCCGGGGCAGCGCCGGCCGTGCCCGTTCCTGTGCTGGGATGGGGAGCAGGAGCCGCGGGGCACGGTCCCGCAGCGGGGAGGAAGGGGCTGCCCCGGGCAGGCGGTGCCAGGCAGGAAGCAGCCGGTGTTGGGGTTTCCGTGGGTGCCGGCGCTGGCTGTGCCTCTCCGGGGCCGCTCGGGAAGGAGGTGCAGGGCTGGGGGGGAACCTGTGGGAGTCCGGCCGTGTGGGAGCTGCTCGCCTGCTCCGGGGGAGCTGCTGCTGGTGTGACCCGGGGCCGCAGCCCCCGGCTGATCCCGCCGCGCCCTCTCTCCTCGCAGATCTGTAACTGGTTCATCAACGCCCGGCGGCGGCTGCTCCCCGACATGCTGCGCAAGGACGGCAAGGACCCCAACCAGTTCACCATCTCCCGCCGCGGGGGCAAGGCCGGCGACGCGGCCGTGCCGCGGGGTGCTGCCGCCGGCCCCGGGGTGCTCGTGGTGCCGCCCGCGGGCACCTCCAAGGTGCTGTCGATGTCGGTGTGCCCGCAGGTACTGTGCCACCCGGCGCGGGCGCTGGCCGTGGTGAGCGCCCACAGCCCCGAGTGGGAGAAGCCCCCCGGGCCCGAGGCCGTGCCCAGGGCGGGGCCCGGCGGCAGCACCCTGACCCTGCTGGCGCGGGCCGAGGCGGGCAGCCCCACTCCCGGACTCTTCAACACGCCGCCCCCGACGCCCCCCGAGCTCTTCGGGGACGACTTCAGCAGCTTCCAGCTGTTGGTGGAGGTGGCTCTGCAGAAGGCGGCCGAGCTGGAGCGGCAGCGGCAGGGGGGGCAGCTGCCCCTGGCTCCCCACGCCGAGCCCCCCGGAGCCTCCAAATAACCCCGGGCCGGGTCCCGCAGGGTGCCCTTCCCCGGGGGGCCCGACCCTCCCGGCCTCTGCCTCACCCCCACAGCCCATCCCAGGAGCGGCTCCTGCCCCCGGGGGCTCTGGTGTCTCTCGGCAGCCAAGGCGGCAGAGGAAGGCCGGTCCCACCCGCCATCCCCCCGTGGAGATGCCCTGGCTGCCGAGGACGGTGCCCCGGTCTGAGCCCAGAGCTCAGCGCTGGCAGCGCCCTGTCCCTGCCGACGGCCGGAGCGGGCGCTGGAGCTCCCCTGGAAAACCTGCTGATCTCTCCTGCAAACAAGGGTCCAGCCAGCACCGTTTCTCCAGGAAGACAGAGAGAACCTGTTTTTTTAATGCCAGTGTTAGGACTGTGGCTGAAGAGCTTTGTCTCCCAAATGCCTGATCCTTTCCTCCTGCCACCCTTCCCCCCCCCCGCCCTCCTTTTGTTTTTGGGGGCCTTTCCCGGTGCTGGCCAGGGGGCCTGCCTTGCCCAGGGAAGGGCAAAGGACAGATGAACTGGAAACATGGAGTCTGTGGCATTTTATCATGGAAAAAATAGGACCCTCCTCTTCCTTTTTAGGTTGTTCTGGATGCTGCCAGTAGAAATCTCTATGGTGCTGTTTAGCAAGTTTTTTGTTGAAACATTTTCCCTTTAATTGTGATTTATTACATGATTATTACTTTTTTTTGTTTTACTTTTTTTTTGTTTTGTTTTGTTTGTTTATTTGTTTAAATGGGTAAGCATTTCCACACGCCTTCCCTGCGTTCCCCTCGAGTTCAAGCCGAATGTGTGCACGCTGTGCCCGGAGCAGTGAGTGCGTGGCCAAGCCCGGGCACAGCTGAGACTGTGAATTTTGTACCCGACTTCATTTCCTTTTTTATTTTATTTTATTTTTTTCCATAAAACCTTTGTAAAGAGGCGTGGTGCAGGCACGGCCATGTGCGTCCTGCAAGTGCAGCGCGGGGGTCCTGGGAGGCAGCGCGGGGCGGGCGGAGGGTGCAGATGTCGCTCGCTGTCCCCTCCCCTCGCAGCGTGCCTGTGCGCTGCTGGGGACCTCTAGTGACAAACTGGCGCATGCTGGGGTGGCCGGGCCTGCGGGGCTCCGGGGCTCCGGGGCAGTTTTTGGGCTCTGGAGCAGCTCCTGGCTGGGTGTCGCTTGCTGTCCCTCCCCGGGCGCTGCGCCGGGCAGGCGCCCGTGCGGATGTGGCTCAGTGGCTGCGCCCTGGCCGGGCAGCGCCAGTCCCCTCGGTGCCCAGCCACATGCAGGTGACGACTGGAGGGGGTAAAGCCGCAGGGGCTGAAAGGGAGCAGCACTGATCTGGGGGCTGGAGTGTTCCCGCCCCCCATTTCTTCAGAGGAAGGTGCCGGGGAGGGGCTGCCGTGGGGAGGTTTCCCAACCTGGGCAGGTGCCCTGTGCAGTGCTGAGGGCACTGGGGCGGCTCGTTGCCCGTCGTGTGCCTCTCACCCCCGCCTCCATTTCTATGCCCAGCCTTCCTTTGCCCTTTGTCTCCTTTCCAGGGAAAGTCCTCAATTTTGGGACTCTCACCGTGTCACCCTCCTGCGGCTCTGTCCCTTGTCCTGGGGGAGGGAGAGGCTGTTTGGCCTCCTGCTCTCTTGCCCCAGTCAAACCCGAGTGGTTTCCTTCTCCAGAGCTGTGCCTGTGCCAGGGGCTGGTGCTGCTGCCCTGGGATGGAACAGAGAGTTGGGAGGGCAGGACTTATTGGAATTAAATTTATGGAGAAATAACAAACTACTGTAAATATATTTTTGTTTTTCTATTGTCAAATAAAAGTTTTTTTAGTTTTGGTTGTTATTTTTAAATCTGAGTTGTGTGTCAGAGTGAGCTGTGTCATTTGTGGGTGCCCCACTTGGTTCTCCACCCCTAGGAGAAACCCCTGGGCCACTCTGGAACAGCACTCGGGTGTCCCCCACTGTCCATGGGCTTTGTGCTTGGGGTCAGATGGGGGATGGGGCACATTCCCATGGGGAGTGGGGGGCTGGAGCCAGGGCAAGGTCTGCCAGCCCAGCTCTGGGGTCTGCACTGACAGGGGGTCACAGCTGGGGGCACCACAGCTCTGCTGCCCCTCCTGTGGCCCCAGGCAGACCTCGTGGCCCCTGAGCCGCACACGGGGGTCCAGCAGGGCCTGGGGGCCCCCCGGCAGCTCCAGCAGAGAGCAGCAGCTCCCGGAGGCTCAGGGACAGCAAGCCGGGTGGAGGCACCGAGGGACACCATGGGGGGAGGCACCGTTCTGATGCCCCCACACCACCCCCACCGCCTCCAGGGCATCAGCCGGGGCTGCTGGTGCTGGAAGGGCTCCTCCAGAAGGGCCCCGGCCCTGCAGCCCCCCAGGCCCTGACCCAGGCACACAGTCGCCTCATTAACGTGACGCCCTCCTACTTCCCATGCTTCCCAGGGTGGTTTGGGTTGGAAAGACCGTGAAGACCATTTAGGCACAGCCCCCTGCCATGGGCAGGGACACCTTCCACTGTCCCAGGCTGCTCCAAGCCCTCTCCAGCCTGGTCTTTGATTCTTCCAGGGATGGGGCAAGCCCAGCTTCTCTGGGCACCCAGTGCCAGGGCCTCCCCACCCTCACAGAGAGGAATTTCTTCCCAATATCCTTGATCTCTGATAATGTGAAGCCATTCACATCCCTTGTCCCAAGTCCCCCTCCAGCTCTCCCGGAGCCCTTTTAGGCCCAGGAAGGGGCTCTGAGGTCTCCCTGCAGCATTCCCTTCTCCAGGTTGAGCACTCCCAGCTCTCCCAGCCTTTCCTACTTCTCCAACTACTCCGCCACTGCCAACCCTGCCCCATGACTCCCCACGAGAGGGCGAGGAGCTGCTCCCCCAGGGCTGTGCCCAGAGCAGGGCAGGCAGCAGAGACCGCTGCGCATCCCCGGGGCTCCCGGGACGGCTCCGCCTGCCGAGGGTCCCTGCCCCATGACTCCCCACGAGAGGGCGAGGAGACGCCCCGGCAGCTGCTCCCCCAGGGCTGTGCCCAGAGCAGGGCAGGCAGCAGAGACCGCTGCGCATCCCCGGGGCTCCCGGGACGGCTCCGCCTGCCGAACATCCCCAGCCCCGCGGCTGTGCTGGAGGCAGCGCGACCCCCGCGCATGGAGGGAGGCGGGAGCTGTCCTCGGGGGGCCCCGGGGACAGGCGCTGTCCCGCTCCGGGCGGGGGCCGGGCCGTGCCGGCGCCGCGGGGCATTCCCAGGAAAGCCGCGGGAAGAGCCGGCAGCGGCTCCAGGCGCCCGAGAGCGCGGGGCTGCAGCGCCCGGCCGAGACGGGGACACGGACAGACAGGGGACACGGACAGACAGGGGACACGAACTCCGCGCACGGGACACGGAGCAAGGGGAGGCCACGCCCACCATCCCCTCAAGCTCCGCCCTCTCCCAGCAGCCTCACGGCCATTCGCCGCAGCAGAACGTACTGTGCTGTGATTGGTTGATAGGGCCCGGAAGTACTGTGACACACGGCTCACCCCTTTGTATCCATAGGGAGCGGCCATTTTGTCTCACCCGCCATCTTATGGCAGGGCGCAGCCATTTTGTTAAACGTCACGCCGCGCTGTGATTGGCAGGCAGCCATCTCGTGACACCACCATCCCCACGTGATCTCAGGCAGCCCTGTGATTGGCTGCCCCTGTCCTTTGGGCTCAGAACAGGTGGATACAAGGAGTGGGCATGAAATTACAGAAGGGTGTTAAGCACCTGCAACAAACAATTCTCAGATTTATAAAAGGTGTGTCTAAATACGTGTAACACATTTTTGTACATGTGTTACACATATTTACTTGTAGATGCATACAGAAGTACGTAACTCTACCTCTGTATTTGTATATGCATTTTAATACATGTAGGGGAATTTAAAATATTAATTTTAAGATACAAAACCATATTAAAATTAATTTTTACAGCTTTATAAATTCACTTACATGTTGAAATAGATGCATATATATATATACAAATCCATATTATATAAGAACATAAATATTATGAGCAAGCCCAGCCCAGGGCAGCAAGGATAGCTTGACCACTCCATGAGCAGCAGTAGGGAAGAGTAAATGTTAAATAAATAAATTAACCCCCACATCTCCTTGGTGTTCCCCCTTTCTCTGCCAGTGATCCCCAAAGCTGCATCCGCTCCGAAACCCAACAGTGCAACCCAACAAAGCCTCTGCCCCCATGGAATCTTTAGGTTTGGGAAAGGCCTCCGAGAGGAATCTCACCTGCTGCCAAACCCTGCCGTGCCCACGCACCCGCAGGTGCCACCTGCACAGACCTTTCCAACACCTCCAGGGCTGGGGGCTCTCCCCCTGCCGTGGGCAGCCCGGACCACATTTTCCATTAAGGACTTTCCCCCAATATCCAGTGTTAACCTCCCCTGGAGCAACATGAGGCTGCTTCCACTTGTCCCCTGGGAGCAGAGTCTGACCCCCAGCTCCAGCCCAATTTGAATCCCAGCACAGCCAAGCTTTGGGAATTCTATGGCTGGGAGCAGAGACCTCAGAGCAGCGTTCATGGGCAGCCCCAGACAGCACACCATGGGCAGCAGGCGTTGTTCAGGATTTCACTTTTATTTATTTTTTGCCTTCTGGATCACCAACACTCTCACCGAAACCAGTGGGATTCCACCTCCACCCCCATGACAGTAGCACACAATCTCCCAACTTGTTCAAAAGTGTGAAGAGGAAAAAAAAAAAAAATCCCCAGCAAGATCCCTCAGGATGGGACAAAAACCTTCTGTGTGAGAGGGTGGCAAAGAATCAGGGGGTGGCAGCTCTGGCTCCGAGGAGCCAGACCGGAAAGGAGACCTACGAAGGGGAAGAAAAAATGGGCTAAAAAATATTTAGCAATCCTTCCTCTACCCAGAGAGCAGGGAGATAAGGAAAAAATAGTCATCTGCTTACACACAGGGTATATATTTTTACACACACTTGGACACACATCTAGATATAGTACATGTAAAAATATATGCTATACATCTGCCCACCCCCGCGGCGGCGTGGGCAGGATCCGTGTGTAGGAATTACTATACAGGTACTACTAAGTGTATATGTGCATATGTACACCCTCCTGTCTCCTCCTGGACGCGCTGACCCCACAGCCCCTGCTGCAGCAGCTCCTCTC